TTATCAGCTTGATGTTGAACTAATCTATGCTCGTTACATGATAAGGGTACAGTGACTGCATTCAGCCGACATGGTACATCGTTAGCTCGCCTGCTGCTTTCAGTAACTATCTTTACTATCTGTGTATCTTTCAGGCTCAGCAATGTCAGCACAGCTAAAATTATTGGATGATAATGAAACGGTTAGTGAGCTGGACTGAATATTATAACGAGATTGTGTCACACTTTATAACAGTTAGACCGCAGTAACTAGTGTTAGTGGATGGCTCTTCCTCTGTGTTGTATATTATGTGGGTCTGGTTAGGTACAGCGACTGAGAGGTGGAGAAGCTGTGTACCTGAGTATCGGTAAAGGGCAATAAAATCTAAATTGAACGTTACGAAGCAAACAGCGGCAGGTCCGATCTAGTGTAGCGTTAGCTGGCTGCTCGTGGCTGCATCACTAGGGGACAGTAAACAAATCGATCCACATTTGCTTTTTACCGTTACGTCATTTCTTGCAGGCTTTGACACTTTGACATAATACCAGTGGTACACAGGAAAGTAACATGGGTCGCGTTAGTTGGTGAAGTAATGTGGAAAGCGATACAACTTTGCACCGGATAACATTAGCAACTGCTCGGTGTTAGCCGGCAAACTAACGTGACTTTCTCTGTGTTTCTCCAGCTTTACTAATGCTCACTTTGTTCTTACAGGACATCATCTGAACCTGTTTTGGTCTGATGGGCTGATCACATAAACCTTTATTGTTGTTTTGTGGCCTTACGTGGAGCCCGTGTTTTACTGTGAGCCGGTTATGTTTATGCTGTTAGTGGACTGCATGTCGTTGGCTGCCGTGTTGTCTCTGTAGCGTGAGAGGCTCAGGAGCGCGCACAGGGCTGAATCCGACCCGGTGTCCTCACATTAAAAGCAGAATAGTGGCTGATGTAGGCAACGGAGAAAACAGGCGTGCTTCATTACTCTTGATCCTGATACAGCACATCCTCATCCTGTCTGAAGATGAGAAAAAAGTGAATCATGATTATTTAAAGAAAAAGCTCCCAGAAAACCCAGAGAAATTTTCTGTTCTGCCCTGTGTGTTTGGAAAGTAGAGTTTCTCTTCAGGCAGATTTTACTACGAGGTTCAGGTTAAAGACGAGACTGACTGGACTTTAGGAATAGCCACAGAGTCTGTAAAGAGGAAGGGATACACCCCACTAATCCCAGAGGAAGGTCACTGGACCATATGGTTGAGAAATTGAAAGGAGTATGAAGCTCCTGATGACCCTTCAGTCTGTCCTTCTCTGAAGTCTCGGCCTCAGAAGGTGGTGGTGTTTGTGGATTATGAGGAGGGCCTGGTCTCCTTTTATGTTGTAGATGCTGCAGCTCTTTTCTACTCCTTTACTGGCTGCTGCTTCACTGAGAAACTCTTACCGTACTTCTGTCCTGGTCTTCATTATGGTGGCAAAAACTCTGATCATCTCTCCTGTCAGTCACACTGAGTAGATTATGTTTTTAATGAAAAGGGTTTTTGTCATGAACAGAAACATATCTGGTAATCTACAGTGTAAACTAGTTTTCTGCAAAGTTTTTTCTTTTGTTTATGCTTTTATTATGTCATTGTTCCATTTTACGTTTCTCTTTACAGCAGCAACAAGTAAATTTCTGAATCATTAATCTCTTCCCCCCAGACCTGTGGATCCATCATAACAAACACTGAGATAGAACTGGTAAATAGTTTGTGTTAAAACACCAGAGCTGTGTTGGAACATTAACATACATAATGTATGCAATCTTTCCCTGTTATAAACGTTGAAACAGGTTTGTATCTTTTTACTTTAAGGCAACTTACAGTAAAGGTAAACTGTAAGAGGATAATCGGGGTTCATATCAAAGCTTCTGGCCATATTTTCCAGTGCTTTGCCATTGCCATTTTACTGCCCATAAAACTTGCATCCTGCTCACCATCAATGTCCATGTTTTGTTTTGGCTTCCAAGCAAACACCTGATGTAAATCTGACCTCATAGGAAAATTATTAGGGGGTGAAGGAGGGTGAGAAAGTTGGGAGAGGTAGCCTATGTATTTGTTTTTGCTGAAGGGAGGATTTCTTTCCCAAATATTTCCTCCATTCTTCCCTTATAAGCTTTATTGAAAAAACAGAAAAGTATCAGAAAGGGTGCCGAGTGCACAGGCAGGAAACAGGTTTTGGACCAGTAATTAGTTAGCTAATTTATTCAAGCAAAAGACAAAATGAGCAACTTACGGTCAGTGTCCAAACACATCCACAGGATGCAGTCTGACAGAGGCAAAGAAAATCCAACAAAGGAAATGCAACAATCCAAAGTGGCAGGTAGGTGGGAAGTGGACAAATAGGCAGGACACAGAACGACACAAGACATGACTGGCAAACATGATAAACGACTGTGGGAGACAGAAGAGGGAGACAGCGGACCCAACATTCAATTAATTGAATATTGTCAAACACACAAAATTAGTTTTTTTGTTTGCGTGAACAGAATCCTAAAAACATAGTAAATCCATAATGCTAACTACCTTCTAGATACTTACCTAGAAAATGCTCTCAGACTGCAGCCAAGGTGGCAGTTTAGTGAGGAGTGATGGTTAAAATCTGTTACTGTAAATGGAACTCTGATTATCATGAAATATTAATCAACTGTTTTTTATGCTATAATGCTTTTGCACTGTTTCTGTGCATGTGACACCTGTAGTTACTGGTGGTAACAGCAAATGCTGTTTAATACTGCAGGTCACAGAGGTTTGGGGCAGCTAAACAAGCTATTGTCAGGCAATTATTGGTCTTTTCCCATAATTGTGTGAGCAGTCATGATCTGACTATATGCTGCACATGACATGAGTCTACGAACACCAAACGTGAAAGGAGCAGGTTACCTAGCTGAGAAGGTGGAGGTGTGCAGCCTGTCGCCTGTAGCTCTTCAACAACAAAGAAACAGGCTAAAGGCTTCATCAGAGAGCCGGAACAGAAAATCTCTGAGCTTCCGAAGAGTAGGACTCAGGTGGAGCAGCTCTCACACTCTGAAGACCACCTCCATCTTCTCCAGAGTGTCCAGTCCCTGAAGACCCACCATCCACCCACCAAGGACTGTAGAGAGGTCAGTGTCCGTCCATCATTGTATGATGAGACTGTGAGGAGAGCTGTGACTCAGCTGGAGGAGACATTCAGTAAAGAGATGAAAAAACTGCTCACTGAGACTGAGCTGAAGAGGGTCCAGCTGTATGCAGTGGATTCTGATATAGCACATCCTGAACTCATCTGATGATGGGAAACATGTAAGTACCGTTAAAGTAAAGAAGAATCTTACAGACAACCTTTAGAGGTCAGGTTAAAGGTTAAAGAAAAGACTGAATGGACTTTAGGTGTGGCCAGAGAGTCAATCAACAGAAAGGGAGAAATCACACTGAGCTCTCAGAATGGTTACTGGACTAAATACAGAAACTGTACATTGTATAAAAAGGTTCAGAGAACAATCACGTACAGAAAGAGTTTGATGTAACCATGGTAGCAGTTTGCCCCTGCTTCCAGTCTTTGTGTTAAGATGTGCTAAGCTATGCTAAGCAGCTCATTCGATACATTCTACACCGATCAGCCGTAACCTTATGATCGCTGACAGGGTAAGTGAACAACACTGATTATATGTCATATTACAATGGCACCTGTCAGTGAGTGGAATATATTAGGCAGCAAGTGAACATTGTGACTTCAAAGTTGATGCGTTAGAAGCAGGAAAAATGGGCAATCATAAGGATTTCAGCTACTTTGACCAAATTGACCCTTTGCTAAGCCACGCCCCGAATACAAAGCTGACCAATCACAGCGCAGTATAGGACTCACTCTAACTGAGGTCCGACACTGCGCTCCATTGACTAACTTCCTACTGAATGTAACGTTATAAAGCCCTACTGTTCTGCTTTTTAATGAATGTAATAATGAATAGAAGCCTACCCAGCTTTACAGGAACATTGTTGATCCTTAATATTGTTGTCTTTTGTCTCAATCGTAGGGGGATGTGGTGGTTCACTTGAACTGTGTGATTGGTAGGCTTTAGCTTCTATAATTTTTTTCACGCCTGTTTGAGTCAGTTTGACAGCCTGAATACAACCTTCAAATGTATAATGCAACTGCAAAAGTGTCGGCTTCTTTGTGAGATCGCTTTTTCCAACAAATCTGACAATATTTCTCAGGGGAGTGCAGTA